TATGATGACATCATTCTAATTAGTATGAGAAATTCATTTCTTTCAAGGTGAAAAGCACAATAGTGCAAGGTTAAACAGCTGTCGGTCAACCTTACAGTTAACAGCTTAGAGTTTGAAGAGCTTAAGCAAAGGAAGATTCTAAAGGAATCAGAAGCCCTGATGTCGTCTCTGGTCTATATCAGTCACATTGTTTAGGAGAGATTAAATAGTTATTACCAAGGCTCAGTGGAAGAATTGAGGGGTAACAATTTTCAAAAAGCCAAACTGATCAGACAACACAACACACTAAGGGGATCTTAACGGGCAAAGAGGTTCTGAAGCATCTGTTATATTCTAATTGCTTCTGTGAGAACATCTAGTTTGGATCTACAAAATAAGCCTTCTTATAAGTATAGTTTACCAAGGACTCATATCATTCTGTTGATGACTTCTCTCTCTAGAAGTACAGCCAATTTCATAAACATTTAAAAATGTTAAATTTCATATGTTGCCTTGATTCATAATCTGGTTACTAAGAAATATGGAGACAGAATTTTCTTTTCTAAGTTCGAAGAAAAGGAAGTGAGAGGTCATCTTCTGTCCTTACTGAATAGTGATAGGCCTGAAGTTATTACAGTAATACCACCTACTGTCTGTGTAATGAGAGCCCATAACCAGTTCCCCATCTCAAGTCACTCCTTTCAAAGCTACCTCCTTATTGTTTGTTAAAGGTAATCTTTTCTGACCATGCTTAAAAACCAGTGGTATCCTAATCCACAGAATAAAATTCAAGCTCCTTAACCTGGCATACAAGATTATTCATGGGTTTAGCCCTACATAGCCAGGTTTGCTGATCCCTTTCTCACACCTTATTCCAGTAATACCAAACTTCTTGATAGTTCCATGAATATACCCAGTTGTTTCCTACCTCTGAGCTTTCATGCTTTTTGATCCTTTCTAGAGAATACTACCCCCCTCCAACCCCTTGTCAACTCTATTCATCTTTCTACTCATTCATCAAATGATTATTGAAAAAATACTGTATGCCAGGCTATATGTTAGATTCTGAGAATACTACAGTGAATAAGATCTTGTACTGCCCTGGGGTGCCTAGGTGGCTCAGTCAGTTAAGCTTCTGACTCTTGATTTCGGCTCAGGTCATGATCTCAGGGTCCCGGGATCAAGCCCCAAGCTGGGCTCCAAGCCCAGCGAGGAGTCTGCTTGAGATCCTCTCTCTCCCTCTGCCCCTCCTCCCATTCTCTCTCTCTCTCTCTCTCTCTCTCTCGCTCACTCTAAAACAAATAAGTAAATCTTAAGAAAAAAAAAAAGATCTTGTACGGCCCTCACTGACACAAGAAATTACAAACCTCACCCTCTGTGAAGTCCTCCCCAGGCTGCATCCCCATAGTGGACCCTTGTCTTCCACTTTCCTTGTTCACAGTATGTGTAGTCCTCATCACGGTGCCCTGTAATTATTAGCCTCCCTGACTACACTGGGAGCTCATTAAGACAGGGATGTCATTTTTTGTAATATCTGGCTTATTGTACATGCGTTATAAACATTTTGTAGGGAAGAAAGGAACGCGGAAAGGGGAGAAAGGCAGGATACACATTTAAACCTTGGAAATTTCATGTTTTAATGTATCTGCCCTTGGTGAAATGGCCTACATTCTTGGCTGTCTCCCCCAAGCCCTGATTTCTGGCCTTTTCTGCTCTCTTTTTAATTTCTTCTCTCCCTCCCTCTCTTAATTCCACCTGGGATCACTCAACATCCTGTTCATGACTGGCTTTGTGTCTTATATGCCATGGGAAATTTCAGGGGGGATTTAGGGCTTCAGAAATGAGATGCCTCCATTTGGGACAACAAACTCTATGTATGAAAGAAGCACCTAGTGGTGCTCTCTGGTATCATTACAAAGCTGTGCCCTGGTTGGTCCGGGACCCTACCTGGTGGCTGAGACCATGTTGAAATAGGTCTCAACATCTGAAACCTCATACAGTGTCTTGAGCCCACCAGACCTCCCTAAATGTCTGATGCAGATGCTGAGGATGAGGCAAAAATACAATATTGCTTCCAGGGAAGCTCAGTAACTCCTATATGAAGTGCCAAATAGCCCAGCACACAGACAGCATCACATAAAGGGGAAAAAATGTAGAAAGGAGCTATTTTCAGTTTAGCTTAGAGGTAAATTATAATTTTAATAAATAAAATTTTTATTTTGTACTTTAGCAATATTTTGTTTGGACTATAAATTGGTGTGGGGTGCACAGTAAGAATTTCAGGGCTTAAGGACTTTAAAGCTATGGTTCTCAAAATGTGGTCTGGACCTGAAACATCAGCACTGCTTGGGAACTTGTTAGACATACAAATTGTTGGCCACGCACCAGACCTGCATTTTCATAAGCAGTGATTCTAAGTGATTCTGATGCATGTTCAAGTGGGAGAACCACTGATCTAAAGGCTTTAAAATGACCTTGATATATAGAGGAAACTAATATACTCAACTTGGAATTCAAAAGGGTCCCTTTGAATTCAGGATCTCTTGAAGCTACACAAATGCTAACTCATTCATTCTCTCTACTCCCTATTGATACAGGCAGGGAAAATATCACTACCCCTGTTTTAAGTAGAAATAAAACTAAATCTGGGGTTGGGTGGGGGTCAAACCACTGCACACAACGTTTTCAGGGTTGCAAAGTTAAAATTTGAGCGGTCTGAATAACCAGAAAGGACATTTGCACCTGTTGTTTTTCCTCTCTTGTTGAGGGTTCAGAGAAGCTCTTGAAAATATTTGTGGGAGATACTTAACAGCTTAACCTGCTCCATAAGCAACTGGACATTTCCAAAATGCATAGGCTGATACTGAATATAAGTAAAGCCTCACTCAATCCACAGAGGTTTCATTTCTAAGTGACAAGGCTTATACTCTGACACATTTTAGTTTACATTGTCCCTCAGATCCTGTTAACGTTCTGACATATATTAATGCCACAGTGATTCCGGTATCTGTGAATCTCCCCCCAAAATGTAGTTAGAGCAAAACAGGTACTAGCCTCCGAGCGGTCTCATCCCTATAACACTGCACAAGGAGATTTCTTCATGGCTTCTGTATAATGCTGGAAGCCCGGAGTTCTGAAAGTAATATTCTCATCTGGGATGAGGGTCCCACTGTGAGTACCTCCCTGGACAGGTATTTCAAAAGCACGAGCCCCGCCATCTCAGAGTCCTCTAACCTGCCCCTTAGCTGCTCTCCTTACCTGAACACATCTTAGGCATGTAGCTTTCACCTTGTCCGTCTTCTAAACTGCTCACCACGCATCCATCTGCTTCCTAGCTTCTCAAATGAGCTAACAGCTCTCACCTGCAGCCATCTCTCCTGTTCCCTTTGTCCTGTAAGTTTATATAGCTTTGTCCCCTTTCTGTCACTTGAGGGGAGCTCCAGAGACAAATGCATTTTTTTTATTCCATGTTTCTATTGCTCATTTTTATAAAAGCATACAGTCTAAAAGGGAATTTAGATATCATCTCTTCAATCCAGTGTTAGTTTCTTTTTTTTGCAGTGGAATCTATCTTTTTCAAGACACAACCCAATTATAAGTCTAATTTATAAAACAGATAAAAGAGTGAAACTATTTTGGTTGAAGCTGGTAAAGGAGCAGGGTGTGCATCTCATTTCTCTTAAAAATATTTTAAAATATCTGTTAAGGGCCTCCTCTGCACCAGACACTGTGTCAGACTCTGGAGAAACACAGATGAGCTGTGTAGACATGGTTTCTGTTCTCTAGCTGCTCAGAGCCTTGTCTGCTCCTGGAGGTCCCCAAGGAACCCAGTCTGAACCTTACTGATCTAATCTAAGGTCTGCAGAAGAAAAGTGACTTGGCCAAAGGAAGGCCTTCCTGGTCTTCAAATCCATACTTGGGAGTTAAATGTACCCAGTGTTACTGATGTGCAGTGGAACAGATTGTAGGGCGATGATCAGGAGAAAAAACCCAGGAGCTATGTTTATGACCGAGGCTCTGTACACAAAGACGTGGAATAAGCTATGAAAAGGATATGAACTGTGCATAAAGCTCCTAATAAAATAGTGGTGAATGTTTGCACACCTGAGCACTTGATCTTTATTCCTGCCATTCCCTGTGAGGCGATTGCTTTTGGTCATGCAGTTAAAAACTTTAAAAACCTGAAGTCGAATCTCAAAGAAAAAATCTCAGCCTGTTTCACCCAGGACCTGTAAGTATATCCTCTGTCCTTCGACCCATGTCAGGTGTGACAATTTATTGTCTACCGCTAGAATTTCCCACAGTTGGCCTTTTTCAGATTGAAGAAAAAGAAGGAGAAACTAAGAAATAGTAAAAGCACAGCCATCCCATTTATTGAGATGGACAATGCTAAAGGAATTTCAGCTTTGTTTTTCAGATCAAATCGCTTCCAGTAACTGGCTGACCTTCAGAGTGACGGTCCTTGCAGCTTGACTGAATGCAATCTGTTTCTACAGGAAGAGTGAGATAGGAGATTCCTCTTCCAGGGAACGTGGAAAGCCTACTATGATGCACTGCCAGGCCACCATTTGATCACAATGGACCACTGAATTCCAACCATTTCATCCTTGAAGACTGCCAGTCACTTACAGTAATAAACTTTGAGTTGCCTGGCCCTGGGCCAGACTTCCAACTTCTGTTGGCCTCAGTTTCCTCCTGTATAAAATGAAGAGGTTAGACTGAAATATCTGTAAGATTCCTTCCAAGTGGGGTGCCTGGGTGGCTCAGTCGGTTAAGCGTCTGCCTTCAGCTCAGGTCATGATCCCAGGGTGCTGGGATCGAGTCCCGCATTGGGCTCCCTGCTCTGCGCGGATGCACTTCTCCTTCTCCCTCTGCTGCTCCCCCTGCTTATGCTCCCTCTGTCAGATAAATAAATAAAATCTTAAAAAAAAAAAAAAAGATTCCTTCCAAGCTTTCTACTCCTCAGATACTCCATTAGAATCAGCAGGTAGCACTACATTTTGGAATCTGAAGCAACTTACCTAGAGAGGTGCAACCCAGGACATTTTCCAAACACCCGACCAGTGCTTCAATATCACTGTCCTGTCAAAACAAGAGGGATTTACTTCCATGTACGACAGAAGAATATTTATTGACATAAAAAGTGTTCTTGCCACATTCAGGTAAAACAAAACAAAAAAATCTGGTGGCAAAATTATTTGACAGTACGATCCCATTAAAAATTTTTTTGCAATTGAAGTATAATTAACATACAGTGTTATATTTGTCTCAGGTGTACTATATAATGATTCAACATTTCCATACATGACTCAGTGCTCATCAAGATAAGTGTAATCTTAATCCCCATCACCTATTTCATCCACCCCCCCACCCACCTTCCCTCTGACAACCACCAGTGTGTTTTCTGTATTTAAGAGTTTTTTGTCTCTTTTTTTTGTTTGCTTGTTTGTTTTGTTTCTTAAATTCCACATGAGTGAAATCATGTGGTATTTGTCTTTTTCTGACTTTATCTTTTTCTCAGTTAGCATAATATCCTCTAGGGCCATCCACGTTGTTGCAAATGGCAAGATTTCCTTCTTTTTGATGGCTGAGTAATATTCTATTATATATATAAGTATTCTATTTTATATATATATACACACACCACATCTTCTTTATCCATCTATCTATTGATGGACATTTGGGCTGCTTCCATATTTTGGCTGTTGTAAGCAATGCTGCAATAAACATAGGGTGCATCTATCTTTTCAATGTTTTTGTTTTCTTTGGGTAAATACCCAGTAGTGGAATTACTGAATTTTATGGTAATTCTATTTTTAATTTTTTGAGGAACCTCCATACTGTTTTCAAGTGGTTGCACCAATTTGCATTCCCACCAGCAGTGCATGAGGATTCCTTTTTCTCCACATCCTCACCAATATTTGTTATTTCTTGTGTTTTTTTATTTGAGCTGTTCTGACAGGTATAAAGTAATATCTCATTGTGGTTTTGATTTGCATTTCTCTGGCGATGAGTGATGGTGAGCATCTTTTCACATTGGCCATTGTATGTCTCTTTTGGAAAACTGTCTCTCCAATCCTCTGCCCATTTTTTAATTGGATTGTTTGGTTTTTTTGGTATTGAGTTGTACAATTTCTTTATATATTTTGGATAGTAACCCCTTCTCAGATATATCTGCAAAGATCTTCTCCTGTTCAGTAGACTGCCTTTTTGTTCTGTTGATGGTTTCTTTCACTGTGCAAAAGCTTTTTATCCTGGGGCGCCTGGGTGGCTCAGTTGGTTAAGCAACTGCCTTCGGCTCAGGTCATGATCCTGGAGTCCCGGGATCGAGTCCCGCATCGGGCTCCCTACTGGGCAGGGAGTCTTTAAAAAAAAAAAAAAAAAAAAAAAAAAGCTTTTTATCCTGGTGTAGTATGATCCAATTTTTAATGAGAAAAATACCTACACCTATATGTATAGCTAGCTATACCCCACTCTTCCCATCCCTATCAATCTATAGATCTATTCCTCTATCACTCTGATGGGAAGAACATACACTGAAAATGTTAATAGTGGTTTTGACTATAAGGTAAGATTATGGATGATCTTTATCTTCTCCTTTGTGTACTTATGTCTTTTCTAAATTTTCTATAATAAACAAATATTACTTATTTAATTTACAAAATAGTAAATGCTACTTAGAATGAGGAAAAGGGTTTTATTCAATCTATAATCTATTCAATATATCAAAAATCAAATGACTATTTTTTTCCTAGGGAGTGTCTCTACCAGTTCTTCTTTGGAAATGTATGGTCTTCAAGGGGTCATAAATCTAAGTATTGCACTTTTTATTTACCTTAACCCTCAATAAGAGTCAGACACCCTCATGAGAGCTGGGGGGATCCCAGAATTATATTTGGCAACAAATATTGTCTTTATTACAAAATAAATATCTGTCCTCTATCCAGGAGGCTGGAAATATCCACAGGAGCATCATAATGATCTGAGAAAATGGAACCACTTAATTATTTTCAGGTTTGTGGGTACACTGAGGGAAATCAGTAATTTGTGGCTCACCTGCTCCATTTCAAAACAAGCAACACATTTCATACTGAAGTAATTGTGAATTTTAGAAAAATGCACTGTGGTATAATAACATTACATAAATGTATTGTTTTATAATATAACATCTGGTAGGGTTTGGGCAGCCACTTTTTATGCATGTGGTGAAACCCAGCATCATTTCATGTTCTGATGTATAGAAGAGGCAATGATGAAGAAGGTATGTCTGGTCAATGCTGGCCAATGAGGCCAAAGCACTAACTAAAGACCCTGGTGTCCAGCCCAGGAATAGGGAGGGAGGGAGATTCATAAGAGGAAAAAACAGATCCCTTCCTTCTTTTACACCCTTGTAGTCTCCAGACTTAGCAGGGACAGCCTTAATTCAAAGAGGAACCCAGCAGAGACAACCTCTGTCGGAGAAAAAGCAAAGCACACATTGCCATACACAGCTGATGACACCAATCTGGCAAGCCCCGCTCGTGCCTCCACTAAGTGTGCTGGCCTGGTCCAAGTGGCTTGATTTCTTAGGTCTTAATTTCTGCATCTGTGAAACTAGGGGGTTGTATTGGCTGATGGTTAAGGGGCCTTCCAGCTCTAAAACCCAGCTCATCCAGCAAAGAATTAGATGGACAGTGACTGTGTGGATTGTTTTCCAATATAGCTACAACAATCCTTCCCATCCCTTTGTTCCTATGCCATTCCTCACATCAAAAGTTAGACTCTCTTTCCCCAGCCCTTAAGCTGGCCCTGTGACTTGCTCTGGGCCTCAGAATGTGGCAGAAGGGATGTTCTGTGACTTTTATTACTAGGCCTTAAGAGACCACGTAGCTTCCATTTTTATTATCTTGGAAGCCAACAACCATGTGAAGAAGTCCAGGCTCTCCTACTGGAGAGATACCATGGTGAGACGCCCTACAGCATGAGAGGCCATGTGGAGAGAAACAGAGGCCCCCACCCAACAGCCAACATCAATTGTCAGACATATGCGTGAGGCCATTTTGGACCGCCCCCCAAGCCAAGCTCCCAGCTAAATGCAGCCACATGAGTGACTTTAAACAATATCACATGGAACAGAAGAACTGTCTAGTGGGTCCAGGCAACCTACCTAGAGAATCATGAGAGACAATAAATCACTGTTTTAAGCCATTAAGTTTTGGAGCATTTTGTTACTCAGTAAAAGATAACTGAGACCCTAAATAAACAGAGTTCATTGACCAAGTGTTTCACATATTTATGTCTCTAGCACCTAGCATGGCCCTGGGAGCATGACAAATGCTAAATGCTCACCTGTGCAGGTCTCTTCCAGCCTCAGTGATTTGCAAGGAAGTAAAACAGAAGAATGGCATTGACTCTTTAGATCATAGTCTAACCCTAGTTGGACAGCAGGGTTCTCCCCACTCAAAGTACATCCTTACTGGGAAAGTAGAGGAAAAAGCATACTACTTCTTAATTCTGTGGCCTCAGTCAAGTTGGTTAACCTCTCCAAATGTCATTTTCTGTCATTGTAAAATGAGAATAATGTCCTCTATCTCACACTGGGCTCTTATGAAAAACATGAAATAATAAAAAGCCTTTAGTAGAGGGTATGGCTTGTTGGAAATACCCAATGCGTGGAAGAAGAGAGTTGGATAGAACAGGATGGGATGGGAAAAGAACAGAGACATAAAAGATTAAAAAGTCCCAATCACTGTGCCTGCCACAGAACATGGAAATTCGCAATAAGTATTTGAGTTGAGTCAAAGAAACAGAAATGGCAAGAAACAGTCATGCTGTAGGAGACATCTGGATGGCTGGGACATATCAGTTATATCTTCCTAACATAGAGGACAGGGAATCCTTGCGGGGAGGGCAGAAATAATTCTAATATAACTGAATGAATGAATACTAACTTTTACTGAAGTCTTAATATGTGCCATTGTTCCACCAGCTTACATGTATTAATTCATTTAAACTCAACTAAGTGGTGCTATTTTTCTCCCCATTTAACCGTTGAGAAAACTGAGGCACAGATAGGCTCCATAATGTGACTACGTTCATGCAACTAGTAAGAGGTAGAACAGGTGGTGTTCTCCAGAGCTTGAATTCTTCTTAGTCACTACAGTATACAAAAGTAGTAGAAGGCAGGGCTCCAAACCCAAACAAAGCTTCACAATATTACTGGAGGAACCAGGGTGCAAACTCATGAAAAAAACTAAAAAATAATTATTTGCTGAGATATATATATACATATCTATATATATATGCAATATAAGGCAGCCTGGGGACAAAATGCAGGTACAGAGGGGCTGGGTGCGGAGGGGTGGGTTCTTCATCAATGGCTTCCAACTCCAGGTTCTAAGAGAACTTGAAGCAAAACATCAGTTCTTTGTCTAAATACGGCCTCAACAAGAAGGTTGTGCATTCCCTTGGTGGAGTAAGCAAACACAGTCATGGGCCATGAGCTCTGCCAATTTCCCTTCTCACCCTAAAGACTGGGGCCCCAGAGATCATGGACAGTGACTGAGCTCAACTTACATTCCCAACAAAGGATAAGTCACTTTCTGTCTCTTGATGGAGATTAATTAGGGCATTAAGACCCAAACTCCAACTGTACCTACTGAACACTTTTTAAAAATTTGAAATAACATCAGACTTACAAGAAAGTTGCAGAAGCAGTACAAAATTCCCATATACCCTTCACCTTGATGTCAGTGTGCCATGTTTACATGCTCATTCCCCCATCTATTTATACACACCAAGGTTTCTCTACCTTGGTACCATTGACGTTTTGGGCCAGATAATTCTGAGTATGTTACAGGATGCTTAGCAGCATTCTTGGCTTCAACCCACTAGACGCCAATAAAACACTCCCATCATCCCTCCGTGGATTTCCACATCCAACCCTGGGATGTGGAAATCAAACATGTCATCAGGCATGGCCAAATGTCTCCCGAGGAGTAAAATCTCCCCTGATTACCTACATATAGCTCTATCTCCCCATATGTATTTTTTTCTACTGGTTAAATCTGGAACAACTTGGTGATCAAAATAAATGACATTAA